GGCGGGGCGGGCAGGTGGTGGGCGGATTGGCCGCCGCGCCGCTTACATTGTTAGCCGGGCAGCACACCGGCAGAGCAGGTTGTAATGGGAGCAGCGCAGCGTGTAAAAATTAATGAAAGTCTGTGTTTAACCAGCGGCGTTACCGCGTCACGTTACGCCGGGGAAAAGAGGGCAAGAGGCGGTTGCTCGACCCGTGGTGCCCGAGGCCCGAGGTGGTAGCGCACAACAGACGTGTTCGAATCAGTGTAACGATAGAGTGAGAGGGAGAGGGGGAGAGAGTGAGCGAGAGAGAGATAGAGGGGAAGGGACGCGAGCGGGGTTGAACGCACACACGAGCACGGTGGCGTGTCGTTGTGACGCTAGGAGGCTAGGGAGAGGGGGAGAGGGGGAGTACAGGGGCTGTTGGGGCGAAGCGCAACGAAAAATAATGTTACAACGGAAAAGAATTCCACCCGGAGGGATAAAACAAGGTGCTTTATGTCACTGTGCGCTCTAACGCTGACAGCGGCGGCGGCGGCTTCAGCAGCTGCTGTGCGCTCCGGAGCTCCACATCGCCGGGTACCGTGGCGGGCACGGACGGCGGGAAGAGAAAGAGAGAAAGAGCCACCGCAGTCCATGGCATGGATAGAGAAAAAGAGAGAGGAAGTTGTGAACCAAAAAGGAAAAGAAGGGTTGCAGTCAGCCCCCCTCCCCCCTTCTCGATATCGCTTTTCTACCGATATGCAATAAGTATGTCGGCGACGGTCCGGGCGGTGCTGTTGGGCTCGACCCCCCCCCCCCCCTCCAAACTCCTACTTCCTTTCATTCCTTTCTCGCTGATCGAGTTTCTTTCTCTCCTCCTCGATCTAGTCTACTCCCATCGCCTGCCTGTCCCACCCGTTCCACCCGAGGTCCCACTGCACCCGCGAGCTGGCCCGCCGAGACCCCGACCCCGAACCCTTCCTCGTCGTGGTCGTCGTCGATCCAAATGATACCCCCTGCGCCCGAGAAAGTGGGGGAGGTGGGGAAAGTTCCAACCAGACATCCGGTGGTATCGGTGTAGCCCTGGACTCCGGACCACCACCTGCAGCTCCTGCTGCTCCCTCCAACACCACCCAGAAAAAAAGCTTAGATGTAGGGACCATCGTATGGTTAACTCAGGGAGCACCATAAAATATGGTTGCGATGCAACATCATCGTGGTTGTAAGAACCAAAAATATGGTTTCCATTGTGAAGCATCACGTTGCTGTTGTTGTCTCAACCTTAGTTTATCGTTCTCCCTGGACACGACCCGACTGACACCCCATTAGGGACGCACATCAGACGTCCAGCGCCTCACCACCATGCCCCCCGCCCCGCCATTCCTAAGTTCAGCTGCTAGATCGATGTACAGGTGCAGGCCGAGTGGTGCGTTGAGGAGGGGACAGAAAGTGTGACAACTTTATCAGTTGCAGCACTGGAAAAACTAATGTTACCGAGGTAACGTTTCTTGACGCAACCAAACCAGGTAACGTTTGGTGATGCAGCCAGTTTGTGATGGCATGGCCCTATCCTTGCATGGGGTAGGTTGCATCAGGAAACGTTACCAGGCTTGGTCACACAACGTTACCTTGGTAACACTAGTTTTTCCAGTGAGGTCCCATTGGTGCCAGTGGTCTAATCAATATTCGCTCACTTGAGGCGCAGTGCATAAGCATAGTTACCAAAATCTGCCACAGTTGTAAAGAAAAAGTATTCGCTTACCTGTATGTGTGTGACATTTGTCGACAAGGATTTTCAAACGCACGTCCACGCACGCAAGGGGTATCGGGTGGTATCAGAGTATCGGGAACAATCTTTTCCGGCCCTCAAGAATAGAACTGCGTATGCTGCAGAATACGTAATTCCGAATCAGCGCGTGCGTCGCACTTGGTCGAGCAGCTTGCAGGAG